TGGGTTTTTAACCCATTGTGGATGGAACTCAACTTTGGAAAGTATAGTAGAGGGAGTGCCTATGATTTGTTGGCCTTACTTTGTTGATCAACAAGTGAACAGTAGATATGTTGGGGAGGTGTGGAAGCTTGGGTTAGACATGAAAGATGTATGTGATAGAGCCATAGTTGAGAAGATGGTTAGAGAAATTATGGAAGTGAGGAAAATTGAATTTTTGGAAAGGGGAAGGGAGATGAGAAAGTTGGCAATAGAAAGTGTTAATGAAGGTGGCTCTTCGTACAAAGATTTGGACAGTTTGGTTGAGGATATTAGGCTGATGAGGATATAACCCTCTTATGGATCTAGAATTCTTTGGGCTCTTCATGGTGCCCGGCTACTCTTCTTTCATTTGGTGCATAAACAGTGTTGAATATGACTTGAATTCTCTTTGTTTAAAATTACAAACTCTTAGTGTATGTTTGGTACGAAGGAAAATATTTTTCGGAATTTTTTTTCTTTCAATTTTTCCATGTTTGGTTGGCTTAAATATTTTGGAAAACATTTTCGTGATGACCTCATTTTTCTCCGATTGAGAAAAATATTTTCCTTATCAAGAAAAGGGAAAACATTTTCCTAAACTCCTTCTCAACACTCCCCGCCCCACCCACACCACCCCACCTCTTCTCTCGAAAAAGGTTTTTTTTTAATTTTATAATTTTTTCGTCACCACCTACCCTGCTATCCCATCTCCTCCTTCCCTCCCCTCCCCCTCTAAAAAAAATATATTTTTTTACTTTTTTTTTTTGTAATTTCAAATTATTGTTTTTTCGTTTTTCTGCATGGCTGCACCCCCACTCCAATGCGCCCCCCCGCACAATTTTTTTTTTACTTTTTGTTTCGTAATTTCAAATTTTTATTTTTTATTTTTTTTGCACACCCCCTACCCCCCTCCCGAAGGGAATTTTTTTTTATATATTTTCAGTTTTAGTTTTTTCATCTTTCGGTTTACAGGTTCGAAATTTTACAAGTTCCAAAATTATGAGTTCGGAGGTTTATGTATTTGGAAGTTTTGCGGGTTTAGAAATTATAAAGTTTACGGGTCCGAAAGTTCGCGGTTTCAAAAGTTTAGCGGTTCCGAAGTTTATAAATTTGTGGGTTCGGAAGATTGTTGGTTCGAATGTTTATGGCTTCATGTTTATTGTATCTAAATTATTAATAAATACTCTTGAGAAGTTATTTTCCTTAATTTGCGTACCAAACATCGAAAAATGAATAATATTACTACTTTTTTTTCAAGAAAATATTTTCTTGGAAATTATTTTTCACGAAAAACATTACCTGTTATACCAAACACACTTATACATATTTTTTTTATTCGGTCAGTTAACTGTTTGTAGGTTGATTAATCTGTATTCACGCTGCGTAAACCTAGTAAAAAGGGTGTATAAGGTCAAAATCGTGTGCCTCTGATTTATAGGCTCGAGGATCCGTCCTAGGCCCGAGTCCGGCCGAGGTCGAGTTCGAGACCGGCTGATTAGACTTGAGCTCGAAGACAAAGTGCGATGCCCGGAGATAGGAGTGCAAGGAATACCGGGGCCAAATGTGCTCGACCCCGAAATAGTACTGTTATGAATTTGTACCGGAACAAGATAGATTCCTGCCACATCCACAAAGTTATGGCGCAAATTCCGGAATAGGATTGTACGATTCCATACTAGGCGGTTAGACAGTTGTACCAAGAATATTCCTTACTGTAAATAGAAATATACCTTATTTAAGGGTTCCCCTAATATATAAAGGGGACCCCAATAATATATAATATGATCTAATTATTTAGAAAAGAATATACTCTCTACCTTTTTGCATACTGTCCATCAGAATTGCCCTTAGCTTTACTGCTCTTACTTTACTTTTTTTTACTTAATTGTTCTTATTGCTCTAAGCCCACCTCGAGGTCACTAAGCTCGAGGCCACCGCTGTTGAGCAACATTGGTTTAATTCGCTTGTCTCTTTCATTTCTACTTCATATTTCTTGATTATTAATTGGTATTAAACTAAATCACGTATCTTTAAAACCACAAATCAAATTTAATTGTTCCTCGTATTTTCGAGGTAAATAGTTTGGCGCCCACCGTGGGGCTAAAGATAATAGTGATTATTTCTTTACTGATTTTCGTTACCTACGCTGCTTTTACACTTTTTCTTGTCAAATTTTTTTGATTTTCAGGCTGAAACATGTTTAGCTCACAAAACGCACCCATTTATGGCAACGAAGGTCTTGGAGAAAAAAACAACGCAGGATTCAGTGTACCACCGATAAACTCAGGGGAAGTGCCAAATGTGAAACCTATTGATATTAGTTCGCACATTGCTTTGAATGAAAATCTAGGCGCGGACCACGAAGGAAATATATGCAGGGAAGCCTGAATGGATGGCCAAAGAACGCAAGGAATGAGAGATGGGTGAATCAACCTCCAAGTGACATTTGAGATGCTACAAGCTCAGCAAGTCGCTATCGCTCAACTTCAAAGTCAGAATAAGACTCCGAATACAGCCGAACCAGCAAACACTCGGCGTACTGAACCAGCACCAGAAAGGCCCAATGAAAGTGGATCGGGGACTGACCCCACGATTATGAGAATGCTCGAGGAGCTTACCAAGAGGATCGAGTCTAGGGAAAAGAAAAATGAAGCCAATGATATGAAGGTGGAAACTTACAACTATCATGTTGACCAAATATCGGGGCACCCCCAGTTTTGAAAGGTTTAGACGCCAAAAAGTTCATACAAAAAACATTCCCCCGAGTGCGGCTCTGATGCCCATTCCCAAGAAGTTTTTCATGCCAGATGTACCTAAATATAATGGGACAACCGACCCTAACGAGCATATTACTTCATACACTCGCGAAATCAAAGGGAATGATTTGAATGACGATGAGATCGAAGCGGTCTTGTTGAAAAAGTTTGGAGAAACGCTGTCAAAAGGCGCTATGATTTGGTACCACAACTTATCCCCTAACTCTATTGATTTGTTTGCTATGTTAGCAGATGCCTTTGTGAAAGCACACGCCGGGGACATAAAGGTGGCCACAAAAAAATCGAACGTCTTCAAGATAAAACAAAGGAATGATGAGATGTTAAGGAATTCATATCTAGGTTCCAGATGGAGCAAATGGAGTTACTACCGATCTCGGATGACTGGGCAGTACAAGCTTTCATGCAGGGTTTGAATGAAAGGAGCTCGATTTCATCTTGACAATTAAAGTAGAACTTGATCGAATATCTAGTTGTGACATGGTCGGATGTGCATAATCATTACCAATCAAAAATTAGGGTCGAGGGCGACTAGTTAGGAGCCCCCTCGGGTTTAGTTCATCCTAATAGATTTGTAGCCAAGCCCTCGAGGGAAACAAACCAGGAATCAAGACTCAACAAAGAACGGTATCAGCCATACGTCGATCGAAGGAACAACGACCCGAGCCGTAACACTCATCGGAGCGATCGGAGAAACAATTGAGGTCAAAGTTTTCGGGGACTCATGAGTAAGAGTGGGTTCGATAAACATACCAGCCCCACAGAGGCTCCTCGATTATCAGAGTACAACTTCAGCATAGATGCGTCAGGGATTGTCTCATCAATTGGGAGAATCAAAGACACCAAATGGACCAGGCCAATACAGACCGATCCTTCTCAAAGAGACCCGAACTTGATGTGCAAATATCATGGCACACATGGTCATAGAACAGAAGACTGCAAGCAGCTAAGGGAAGAAATGGTTCGGTTGTTCAACGAGGGACACCTTCGAGAATTCCTAAGTGATCGGGCTAAGAATCACTTCAGGGAGAGAGATGCAATGAAAAATGAACAAGAAGAACCACAACATGTAATCCACATGATCATTGGCGAAGTCGATGTCCCTCAACGACCTGTGTTCAAGAGCACCAAAGTATTAATCACCAGAGAAAAATGGACTCGGAGCTATGTGCTCGAGGACATCTTATCATTCTGTGACGAGAAAGCAGAAGGGATATCTTAGCCTCACAACGACGCCGTGGTAATCTCTATCCTTTTGAATAAAATTCAAGTTAAACGTGTTTTAGTGGATCCAGGTAGCTCAACAAACATAATTAGATCGAGGGTCGTGGAACAACTCGGCCTACAAGATCAGATCGTACCTGCATCCCGCACTACAAAAAATTTGGCACAAGGCCACACTAACTTTAGCCATCGTTCGGAAAGTGTTGTCAAAAACATCTATGGGAACGCTTATAAAGGGGTGGCCTTTGTTAATCACGAAGTTTAGACCACACTTGTTAAGAGTTCTCTTTAAATATATAGACAACGCATTTTAAGCGTTGTCAACTCAAATAACATTTGGCAACACATACTCACCTATATTACAACGCTTTTAGAGCATTCCATTTCTTAATCATAAAAGCAACCCTTTATAAGGGTGCTCTAAACTTTTCCAATAAAATTTTTTATTAGAAGTTTCCCTCCATTATTGTTCCTAATGAAATATTTGGGAGGGAATTTTTTTTAAAAATGAAATATTTTCTCCCATTTTCTAAAAGAAAAAATGACAGTACAAGAAATATTTGCCCATTTTTTATCCCACACCTCCGTCGACTTGCTGGTGCTGAAGAAATTTTCATTTTTACTGCCGCATCTTCCACCACCTCTATTGCTGCTGTTATCGCTGCTTCCACATTAATGGTTGATTAATTCTTGAAATGGTAACCTCCTGCCCCTTTATTTTCAGTTGTTTCTAGTTTAGGTTTTGATTATTTGAATACTTTGATTAAGGCTTTAATTAGGGTTTTGATTCTTCCCACCCACCTTGTTAGTATCTCCATTGTCGTCCAATACCCAGAGACTTACTCGCAGAGCACTCATCCATGTAATTTGCTCTGTAATTGCTAATATTACCACTAATACTTCAATACCCACTTCTACTACTTTGATTTTGCTCACTCCTTTTCTTCCTCTTTTTGTTTGTTCTCTACCTTAGTGAGTTTTTCTTTTTCTTTGCCAAAAGTTAAGGCTTGTTGTTCGAAGCTCATAATTTTTCTCCAGATTTTGTGAATCATTCAGAACTCTGTTGTCCATATCATGCTTGTGACTGTAAGAGTTGGACTATTTAAGTAGGTTGGTAATTTGTTTTCGGCCCTAAGTCTTTGGTCATATTTTTTAGAATCTAGAGATGTTCTTTGTTGTTTAACTACTGACATAGATAAATTATCAATAAATTATTTGTCCTATTGTTGGTTATTCTAGATAGAAAGAATCCTTTTGTGCTACTGTTCAAGGATTTGCCAGTGGTGGGTGCTTAGAATAGGCTATGGTTTGTTATTTTCGTAAATTGTACTGTTCAACTTCATGGTTTTACATTTTTGTAACCTTTAGTGTTTAAGCTGACATGTTTATATCATTGGTTTATTCTAGTGGTGCAGTACTCGAATTGCATCATGGAGAGCTGAACTAGGTCTACCTGAACTGAATGTTGGAATTATTTAGTTGTGGAGGTAAAAATGTCTTGCTTCTTTAAATTGTTGTTGCTTGACCAAGATCTTGCTTCATCCCCAATTCTTACATAGCAAATTCAATGGGTCAAAGCCGATTTTGTTCTGTTGAAGTTGGCAAAAAAGATAGCCCATTCTTACATAGCTTCTTACGGTAATATTTATTAATGTTTGAACTGATTGACATTTTTTCGTAGTTAAAAGATTATCTAAATGCAAGAAGAATCGGGTGTTGTATTTTTTCCTTTTCACCTATACTTGTACTAAAAACTAGTTATTACCATGTGACAATCATCCAAGATCAATACTTCTGTTGTAGGGAGGGAGTTGGCTATTATCTATGATGTCGTATCTTCTTAAGACCTCTTAGTAATTTCTTGTATCTGGCATTATATATTGCAAAAGGACGTAAAGATCGTACTAATAGTCTTCAAAGGATAGATAAATTGAACATATACATGAGTCATCTGCTATTCTAGAAACTACTAGATAACATGTTTTGAAGACTTCTCCAGGTATGCACATTATACATATACAGCCTGCCTCGATGTTATTGAAGAGAGCATTTTTAGAGGATATACTAGAGTTTTGACGGTGAATTTTATATAAGGCACACCATAAAGTTCTATCTTAATTAGCATGCAAAAGCGTTTAGTCAAATCTACAGGTGCAGGTGCAGGTTTATGTATTTGCACATGCTTAATCATTTTTATGGTCCTTTACTTAGCAGATCACAAGAAATCAATTGCACCATTATACATAATATTTTATTGTCTTTTAGAATTTTTGAGTACACATTTCAATTAATTAGTGCAAACTCAGTGATTATACCTTGACAATCAGTCAAACAAAGGAAGTAGAATTGTAGCGGAAGGGGTATGCTGTTGTCTTATCGATATAAATTTGTTTCCAGATGTCTTTTACATGATTGCATAGTAGTTTCACTTGGATTTGCTACATGATGTCCTAGCATTTTCATCTCTACTGTTTTCTTTGTGGTAGTTTTGATTGTCTTTCGAATATTTATTTATAAGATTTTCCTGTCTAGTTTATTTTGTCAGTTATAGAGTTAATGTCTTGTGGCTATTTGTAGGAGGACAAGGTTTTCAGAGAATTAGTAATCTTAAAATTGGCTAGAGGTCTGCTCCATATAGATTTGATGAACGTACAACATCAAAGGCACAATTGATAACCCAAACATATATGTGTCATGAGATTCACAATTACATGTTAGAAAGGAATAATTTCCATGTGCATCAAAATACGAAACCAATATGAAAGATTTTAAAGTACTTAAATGACAGGGACATAGTTCTTAATATATATTTTAACTATGTGATTAGGTATTGAGATGTCATGTAAACGTGTTAGCCTATGCCAACATTGTTTTTATTTAAAGATGAAGCTAATATTCTTTTTGGTACTGCGAGATATGTTATGGAATTTTAGTACACTATTCTATTTGGAGGTGCTTTTGAACAAGATTTTAATGTTGAACTAGTGTAAAATTGATAAGGTTGAGTTGGTAGAAACAGAGAGTAAGTTGAAACTTGTAAATGTTAATGATAGAGTAATTGATTGATTCTTTTATCCATTACATATTGCATGATACATAGTTCACGAGTTGTATCTTTTTTTTACGTTCTCATTGAAGATATGAAAGTTTATGTATATGTAATTTACTCTTAAATCTGATTATCATCAATTTTGGATTATAAAGTCGTACTCGTCAAACCCATTATTTTTTTGGATCTTTCTTTATCTGTAATAGCATCGTCCTATCAGCTGTTAATTTGGATATGTCTTTCTATATTGGACATGATCGAGTGAATGTATACTTGTGTTCTGGTAATGGACACAACCGATTGAAATTTGAACGTATCTTCTTTTTTTCTTCTATTTTCTGATATGTATTTTTCACAGAAGTACAAAAGAAAGTGTCGATGATAATGCAAAATACAAAAGAAAGTGCTGATGCCAATGCACAAAAAAAACTACTAATGAGAAAACTGATAAATATTGAGAAGTATTACAGTCTACCCCTACTAGTTTAGGTTAGGCTCAAGTCTTATACTTAAAACAGACATCTGTTCTTAGAATAGTGCTTGGTATTTAAATTTTCAAGGGGCAACTCTGTTACATTGCTCTAAGTTTGCACTTGCATATTAGTGATTTCTATCTAATTACTAATTTTATTTTAAATGTGCAGGAAAGTCTTGGTGAGCAGTTGGAAATGGTGGCCAAGCGACAATTTAACCCAATGGAATGTAATCATCAAGACTTTAGGCAATTACGATTTTTGTTATTCCTGATACTGTAGTGATATATTTGCTTTTTATAAAGTTAATTAATTGCTAGCATACCCCTTGATACAAGTTTCTTTATTCGTTGATGTATTACACGAGATTTACTCCTTGTTTGAAGTTCATTGCAAGTTTATGCATTTGAATTATTCTTTTATTATCTACTAGTTCATTGGGTGCTTGAGATCTTCATACTTAAATTTGATTATAGGATATGTACAAAATATAATTCACTGACCGCAATAGTATGGCAATAGGGATTAGCAAAATTTGTGGCCTATACGGTAGCAAAACCTATACTTTACAAGTGTTGCTTTTCGGAGCCACACTTGAGAAGTGTAGCCTAAAGAGTAACAATGGTCACGCTTTTAATAGGTTGTTGCAGTACCTAAAAGTGTTGCCATAGAGGGTATTACGAGCGTGACACTTGTTACATTTTAGGCCAGGTTTTTCACGTGTGGCTTTTAAAGCGACACTTGAAAAGTGTGCCTTAGGATAAAGGTTACGCTTGTTTAGGCTACCCCTCAAAAAACGTTGCCTTAGGTCGAAAGTGTGGCCTTTTATTAGGCCACAGTTTTTGATAGTTAAGGCCACACTTTTTAGGTGTAGTTAAAGGCCTAAAATGTCCTGAATGACTTCAATATGGCAAGCAAAACAACAAAGGGAGAAATTATCTTGCTAGTAAACGTAGCCGGGACCATACAAAATATGAAGTTCCATGTCATCAAAGGTGATATGAGGTATAACGCACTCCTCGGGAGACCGTGGATACACAACATAAGGGCAGTGCCTTCAACTCTTCACCAGATGATGAAGTTCCCAACAGAGAAAGGAGTAAAAACGATCTACGGGGAGCAACACGATGCAAAGGAGATGTTTGCAATCGAGGAAGTGGTGCTGATCCAGAGCCTTTGACCTCGGAGAAGTCGAGCACTAAAGATAAGCAGGCGGCCAAATAACAATCACCGCCTCCAGCCTCGATGGAGTCGGAGCAACAGGTAATCGAAGACGAAGATGAGGATTTCCTTACTCCTTGAACCTTCGTCGTTCCCGAAGAATCTGATGAAACCAAATCAACTATCGAGGAGCTGGAATAGGTCATTTTGATTGAGTACATGCCCGAGAGAAATGTATACCTAGGGACGAGATTGACCCCCGAACTCAAGAAAAAACTCATTCAATTTCTTATTGACAATACGGATTGCTTTGCTTGGTCCCATTTAGATATGACAGGGATTCCACTGGAAATCACCACACATCGGCTAAGCACTGATCCCAGGTTCAAACTGGTGAAGCAAAAAAAGAGGCCTCAGTCCGAGGTAAAGCATGCTTTCATAAAGGACGAGGTAACCAAATTTCTTAAAATAGGATCTATTCGAGAGGTAAAGTATCCCGAGTGGCTAGCCAACGTAGTTGTAGTTCCTAAAAAAAGGAAACAAACTTAGAATGTGCGTAGATTATAAGGACTTAAACAAGGGATGTCCAAAAGATTCTTTCCCCTTGCCAAATATCGATCGTATGATCGATGCCACGGCTGGCCAAGAGATCCTAACTTTTTTCGATGCCTACTCCAGGTACAATCAGATTCAAATGAACCCGAAGGGCCAGGAAAAGACTTCGTTTATTACTAAGTTTGGAACTTATTGTTACAATGTAATGCCCTTCGGGCTAAAAATGCAGGAGCTACATACCAACGCCTAGTTAACAAAATGTTCGAAGAACAAATAGGCAAAACAATGGAAGTTTATATGGATGCTATGTTGGTTAAGTCCCACCATATAGTTCATTTGCAGGAAACATTCAAAAATTTGAGGCAATATAACATGAAGCTTAACCCGGAGAAATGTGCCTTCGGAATTGGCTCTGGTATGTTTCTCGGCTTCATGGTGTCAAATCGGGGTATCAAAATCAATCTCGATAAGATCAAGGCTATCGAGGGCATCACGATCGTTGATAGTGTGAAGGCCGTGCAAAGGCTAACAGGGAGAATAGCTGCCTTGGGTCAATTCATTTCGAGGTCGTCGGATCGGAGTCCGGTTCTTTTCCTTGCTTAAAAAGAAAAAGGATTTCGCATGGACTCCGGAATCTCAGCAAGCCCTAGAAGAATCAAAATGATATCTGTCGAGCCCGCCTTTGATTCACACCCCATAGGTAGATGAAAAACTTTACCTATACTTGGTAGTATCCGAGATAGTGGTAAGTGGGGTACTGGTCCGAGAAGAGCAAGGTACACAATTTACTGTTTATTATGTAAGCCGAACTCTAGGAGATGCTGACTAGGTACCCTCAATTAGAAAAATTAGCACTTGCATTGATAAGTGCATCTCGAAAGTTGAGACCATATTTTTAATGTCATCTTATATTTATATTAACCACCTACCCCCTTCGAAATGTTTTGCATAAGCCCGAGTTATCGTTCGATTGGCCAAATGGGCCGTCGAACTTAGTGGGTACGATATCGAATATCAACCCCGAACGGCCATCAAACCTCAAATACTAGCTGACTTCATGGACAATTATACGCCGACCCTCGTACCCGAAGTATAGAAAGAAATCCTGCTAAGCTCGGGTACAACATCGGGGGTACGAACCCTTTCCACAGATGGTGCCTCGAATCTGAAAGGGTCCGGGCTTGGCATTGTCTTGAAGCCACCCACGGGTGATACCATTAGGCAATCTATCAAAACTCCAAGATTAACTAACAATGAGGCTGAGTATAAGGCCATGATTGCAGGTCTCGAGCTAGCTAAAAGCTTGGGAGCAGATGTTATCGAGGCCAAGTGCGATTCCCTATTGGTGGTAAACCAAGTAAACAAAAGTTTCAAGGTTCGAGAGGATAGAATGCAACAGTACTTGGACAAGCTATAGATAACTTTACACCGCTTCAAGGAGTGGAATCTGGATCATGTACCTCGAAAACAAAATAGTGAGGCCGATGCACTTGCTAATCTGGGATCCTCGATCGAAGAAGATGACATCATCCCGGATACTTTCGTCCAATTATTGAGGTCCCTGGTTGAAGAGGGTCATGCCGAGATAAATTCAACGAGTTTAATGTGGGACTGGAGAAATAAGTATATCGACTATTTGAAAAATGAAAAACTCCGATCGGACTACAAAGAGTCGAGGGCCCTACGAGGCAAGGCTGCTAGGTTTACGTTAGATGAAGATGGAACATTATACCGAAGAACATTCGATGGACCATTGGCGGTATTCTTGGGGCCAGGGGACACCGATTATGTTCTAAGAGAAATTCACGAAGGCACTTGTGGGAACCATTCCGGTGCCGAATCTTTGGTCGACAAAATTATTAGAGCAGGTTACTACTGGGATATTATGGAAAAAGATACTAAGGAATTTGTCAAAAATGTGATAAGTGTCAACGATTTGCACCGATGATCCATCAGCCCGGAGAACAACTCCATTCGGTCCTATCCCCATGGCCTTTCATGAAGTGGGGAATAGATATAGTCGGCCCTCTACCAGCAGCCCCAGGTAAAGCTAAATTTATTGTGTTTATGATTGATTATTTTTCTAAGTGGGTGGAAGCACAGGCCTTCGAGAAGGTCAGAGAAAAAGAAGTTATTGACTTTATTTGGGACCACATCATATGCCGGTTCGGTATACCTGCCGAGATTGTATGTGACAATGGAAAACAATTCATCGGGAGCAAGGTGACGGAGTTCCTCGAGGCACACAATATCAAGAAGATCTTATCGACACCATACCATCCAACTGGAAACGGACAGGCCTAGTCAACAAATAAAACTGTCATTCAAAACTTGAAGAAAAGATTGGACGATGCGAAAGGGAAATGGAGAGAAGTTTTACCCGAGGTCCTTTGGGCGTATCGGACGACATCGAAGTCTAGCACGGGGGCCACCCCATTTTCTCTAGTATATGGCTCTGAGGCCTTCATCCCCGTCGAGGTTGGAGAACCAAGTGCCAGGTTTCAACATGCATCAGAGGAATTAAATCACGAGGCCATGAATGCTAGTCTCGAGTTATTAGATGAAAAGTGAGAAGCAACACTTGTTCGGATGGCCACGTAGAAGCAAAGGATCGAAAGATACTACAATAGAAGGACCAACCTTCGACACTTTGGAATCGGTGACTTAGTTATACGAAAGGTCACCCTCAATACTCGAGACCCTAATGAAGGGAAACTAAGCCCGAATTGGGAAGGACCGTACCTAGTCCTCAGAGTTGTCGGTAAAGGATCTTACAAACATAGCACAATGGGAGGTGAACAACTGCCAAACAATTGGAACATATCATTACTCAAACAATACTATTGCTAAGGTATGACCTTATCCTTTTTGTCCATTTGAGTTTAAAACTAACTTATTACAGATTTTCGATCGAAGCTATCAAAGGCACGCGATCTCAAAGACACCCTGTTTACACGAAGGCCTTAGGTTTTAAAGCATGCGTTGCACTCTTTTTCTGTTAGATCGGATTTTGTCCCAAATGGGTTTTACCGGTAAAGTTTTTAATGAGGCAACAATTATGTGCTACCTAAGGAGAACTCAACAGTATCTAAGGTTTCTTTTCAATCACCCTCGGAGGTTATATTTTCAAGAAAAATACTTCACGCCTAAGAGGGCCTCGATAGGAAAACTTTGTAATGGGCCAAACGGTCAGATGAACCGTGTCCATATAGAATAGTCGATCCTCGACGGGAAAGCATGTACGCATGTATCAATTATTTGAAGAAGCATTCTGTTAATATCAAAAATACTTTATGTCTCAAAGAAGTCTACTATTATATGAGCGCTACGCTTATAATCCTACAGGATACGGCTTAAGAGCCAAAGCATAAAAGCACCCCCAAATACTCGGGGATTGTCATCGACAATCAGTACATCTGAGTCATCGAAAATAAGACTCATAAGACCTCAAGGAGGCACCCCCTCAAAACAAAAGCCAAGGCCAATATACTCGGGGACTAACTTTTCGAACAAGTTCGAAAAGTTATCCGGAAACAAGTCCAAGTGTCATACCCGAAGGCTACAACCATATTAAAGACTACGGTCATATAAAGACTACAGTCATATAAAGGCTACGACCAAAATAATGCGGCTCGGAGACGTCTGACTTCCGCCATAAATTAAAGGCTTTCAAACATTGAAAA